TATAAAAATATTTCAATAGGTAGTAAACATGAAATTATTAATGAGATGTTTTATATTTTGTTTTTAGTATTAAGTTGTTGGACTCCAGTGTTGTTTTACATTTATATATAGTACATCTCAATTTAGATGTTAAGTTTTCATAAAAAGTAGTTGAGGTAAATTTAGACTTTATAAATTTTACAGGTCAAAGTAGATTCACATACCCAGGATATTCCAAACATACTTAAGTTTAACATTAACAATAAAATACAAGTTTTTAAATTTAAATTTATTTAAAGTAAAATTCATCCCTCAGGCATACTAATGACATTAAAAGTGGTAAGTTATTACATGTGGGTAGTAGCTACCATATTAGATTGCAGAGTTCCAGAGTGATCTACTTGGACTGTGTCAGGAGTTTTAGGTCATTTTTCAGTTCCCAGACAAGAGTCTACCAATTTACCGCCTCAATGGTAAGGGCCATGCTGCTGGGGTTCTGAGAAACTTTAAGGGGGAAGGTGCTAGGTGTCTTAGTAGGTAATATGCATAGATTTGATTACTCTTCTTTTTGGTATAGGATTCCTGCCCACAACTGTGCCTGGCATCTCCCAGTCACAGACCCTACTTTACTTTCTTGTAAGCATAAAACTTCCAGGGATACCTGAGTGGCGCTGTCTATTTGGTGTCAGACTCTTGATCTTGCAGTTGGTGGGATCCAGCCCTTCATCGGGCTCCAAGCTAATGATATTGTGCAAAGCCTGCTTGGGATTCTGTCTCTCTCCTCGACTGCTCCCTCTCGCATGCATGGGCACACGCTCTCTCTCAAAATCAATAAATAAACTTTAAAAAAAAAAAAAAAGAATATACTTCTTTCTGCTGGAGTAAGGGAGGGTACTCTCCCAGTGGTATGGGCCAGGAGGACTGGGGGAGTGGGGGAGGGAGGATCTACCGGTAGATCCAAGTGCTTCTTAAACAGCTTCCAACCAGTCCTCCTATTTTTAGCCTATCCCTTCCAACTCCCATTTCCATAGGTTCCTGGGGCTGCTAAATCTTGAACCTTTTGAGGACCTTTAAATATAGTTCGGCTTGGTTATTGGCTTTTCCTACTTTTAGTTTAGGATTCAGCTGTCTTAGGCCTGCTGGGTTTGCTGCTAGTCCTGTTTATTCACAGCCTCAAAATTTGTTTGCCCTTTTGCTTTTCTCATTCTTCCAACCTTGTAGGCTCCTCCTTTCATCATTGTTATCTTTCCAAAAATTCTTTTTCTGTAGATTCAGAAGGGTTTCAAGAAGGGTCAAGACATTAGGTACTTTTATCTAGTAGTTCCTGTTAATCTGTATTCATGAGCAGACTTGGATATTATGAAAGGTTTCACTTAGTATCTATGCTTCTTCCAGTATCTGTGTTTTATAGTTAAAGGCTTTAGGGTAAGACTCAGTAGGAAGGACAGGAAGATGAAGTAGTGAGTGCCAACAGGCTAGGAGAGCAAGAGTTTGGTTGGGGGCAGAAGAGAATTGACAGCAAGCAAGGAGAATTTTGAGAGGAGAGGCATTTAGAGGCAGGTAGGGTGATTAGAGAACCTAGTGAAAAAGCTTGGACATTTGAGGTGTTAGCCACAACTATAGCTCCAGCAGCATTTATCTTCCTGGACTTCACTACCTTTAGTCATTTATGCTTTTTATGATCTGGAAATTTCTCATTTTGTATCTCAGAATCCACAAAACAACTAATGATACAAGGAAAACACTGAGCAAAGCTTACTGTTTTTAAGCACTGTATACCTAGGACTTGTAAGGAAAACACACATAGTTTTAAGTCAATAAACAGTACACCCTCATTATAGTGTAGGAGCAGGTTCCATTTCAGTAATTGAATTGAGCTTGCTATTTGGGTGTTCTGTTGGGTTTTGAAACTGAATTTTGTCTGTAGGGTGATTCGCTTTCTTGGTAGTTGCTGCCCTCTGTTGGAAATTTTGAGGAAATACAACTTTGATCCTGCATGCATCATTTTTGCTCTCCTTACTCAAACTGACCACTAAAATGTGGTTAATTTTTTAAGTAAGTAAATCTGTTTCTAATGTACCAAGGAAAGCAAGGGAAAGTGGTATCTTTCTTTTTATGAAAAGTTATATTTACTTTGATATCAAAGGCAAGAGTTAGTGGGCATTAAGTGGGACCAAGACACAAGAATTTGGAGAATGCAAAGATTTTTGGGCTTCGGAATATGGAGACTAGAGTTCATTCCCAGCTTGTTGCTGGTCATGTGACTTCCATGATTTACTCTACCTGTCTAGGCTTCAGTTTTTTCATTGACACAGTGAATAAATTTGAGAGCTTCTTCCGGGTTTGGTATTTTAGGAAAGCAGCCCCAGATGGTGGTATTTGTTCATAGGAAATATAATGACTGAGTCTCAGGCTCTGCCCTGAAGGAACTTAGTCTGGAAAGGGGTAGAGGAGACAGACAGTCAAGAGACAGTTGTAATCCACAAGTAGTGCTATGAGGCAGTCAAGTACCTATTACTGTGGAAACATAAGGAGAAGCACTTGTCCAATTAGAGGAGGTATCATCCTGCAGGGCCTGTTTGATTTAGCTTTGAGAGCACAGTCTAGACTGAGGGAAGGAGCAGCCTAGGGAAAGTCTGGGGTGGTAAGACAGCATGATCTATTTGTGGACCTGCAACTAGTTTGGGATGCGAGGGTTTGCAAGAGATGAGGGGGAGAATCCAGGAAGGAATGTCCTATTCCACGCTAAGGAATTTGGATTTTAACCTGAGGGTAGTAGTAGGGAGCCACTGAAGTGTTTTAAATGAGGAAATACCATGGACACCGTGTCATTTTAGAAAGATTACTCTTGGATGTAATATGGATAATGGATTTAGTGTTGGGTAGACAGGACTGGAGGTAGGGAGATCAGTTAGGAAGCTGTTACAGTAAGTCAAGCAGGAGATAATAATTCTGTAAACTTACATAGCGTTAGTAGGGATGAGCAGAAAGGAAATAAAGTCTGTAGGCAGAAGGAACAAGTTGCTGGTTTCCTTTCTTTAACTTTAACCTGTAGCTGTGAGCGATCCAGCTGGCACTGTTTCATTAGACCCAAGTTCTGTTACCTGTGTTACATCCATCCCAGAATGGTTGGGGTTATTGATTGGTTCTGAGGAACATTTTGAGTTTGGAGGACCAGATCCTAGAAGCAACTGCTCTAGGTACAAATAAGTTTAACCGTGGCTGTGGCAACCTAAATTGTACATCCTCATCCTTTTTTTTTTTTTTTTAATTTTTTTTTTCAACGTTTTTATTTATTTTTGGGACAGAGAGAGACAGAGCATGAACGGGGGAGGGGCAGAGAGAGAGGGAGACACAGAATCGGAAACAGGCTCCAGGCTCCGAGCCATCAGCCCAGAGCCTGACGCGGGGCTCGAACTCACGGACCGCGAGATCGTGACCTGGCTGAAGTCGGACGCTTAACCGACTGCGCCACCCAGGCTCCCCCATCCTCATCCTTTTTGTAGCTTGTTTTCGCAAGTGCCAGGTAGTAACTAAGGGTGGTGACAAAAAGAACTGTTAGTGTCCTTGGGTGTTGCTGTCTGCCTCACCATCCTTCTGTCTTCAGTCCCTAGTTAACAGCACACATAAAGTAACTTTAAACTCCATCGATTCTGAGCAAGGTTCTTAACAGCTTCAGGTATGTGATTAGCACTCAGTCAGTGGAAGCTTGACCTCCTCTGGACCATGGTGGGAAAAGTTAAGATTCACAGTTTACACTGGATTTAACTGACTTAATAACATGAGCAAAAAGAAATAATGGTTTAAAATTAAGTATTAGGGCAAAGAATTCCTACTTTACCACCCTGCTTGTTCCCTTTTCTTTTCCTTCCTTCCTTCCTTTCTTTCTTTCTTTCTTTCTTTCTTTCTCTCTTTCTTTCTCTTTCTTTCTTTCTTTCTTTCTTTCTTTCTTTCTTTCTTTCTTTCTCTCTTTCTTTCTCTTTCTTTCTAAGTATGGCATGTACATAGAAGAGAACATAAAACATAGAATAATGAAACCAAGTAGAATATTGTGAGCCCCTTAGAAGCCCCTTTTCCCCTTCTGCAGTCACACCTCACCCACTCACCCCAAGTAAGCACTGTTTTGACATTTGTGATCATCATTCCTTTTATAATTTTACATTCTAAATAATATGTGTCCATGTTTTTAAACTGCATATAAATGAAATAAATTCAATCTTAATGTTTGTAAGTAGCTCTAAGTTCATTTAATTTTTCTGTATAATTGTTCTCCAAGATACATGGTATCTGTTCTACTCTTGATGGCTCTTGGGATTGGTCTCTGTTTTAGTTACTCTGGTGTTGCTGTGAACATTCTTGTTATACACATCCTGGTACATACATACAAGTTTCTGCAGGGTAGATTTATAGAAATTGATGAGTTGTACATATACATATTTAACTTCACTAGATAATGCCTTGCTGGTTTCCAAAGTGGCCAGAGCAATTTACATTACCACTAACAGTGTGAGAGCTCCCGCTCCTCTACAACTAGACAGACATGAAAATGTTTGCCCATCTTAAGAGCGGGAAGCATTATCATTGTGGTTTTAGTTGGCATGTCCTTGTTTACTAATAGAGTATGTTTCATAGGTGTATTGGTCATCAGATTGAGTCTGTGCAGGTCTTTACTGGGGGGGGGGGGGGGGGGGGGGGGGGGGGGG